TGCTCCTTCCAAACAGCCTCTGAAAAACTGCCTTTTGTTTATTTTCTCCCTCATTCTCGTCCTTGCCCTCAGGCTTTTCATCATGCCTATCAGTCATGTTGATGCTGTCTCCATGCTCTCTTTACTGGCCTCTTCACAACTGCACATGCCTGAATCTAGATTCGGGAGCCTAAATTGATCAGTGTTGAGCTTCTCAGATTTCACACTACACTGGCTCACTGTAGCTGCTGCCTTTGAGAAGAAACTTTAACATCACTTTTTCTTTCTCCCTCGCTTCAGTCCCATCTTTACTTATGACTTACTTTACTTATTTACCCTTCATTTAATTATTAACGTCTGAATTCAAATCTTTTGCATATGACTGCCTGAGGTCTGGACCCCACTAAATGTCTTTCCTTTGCTCCAGCCTCTGCCCTGGCAAATAAATTAAATCACTTCTGAAAACTTCTCCTGTAGCTGTGATTTATTTGAATATTTAGGATAGGATTTAGAATTCAACTTTATTGTCATTACACATGTATACATACAGGGTAACGAAATAAAGTTTGCATCTAATCAGAAGTGCAAGAGCAATAAGTGCAACAAGAGCAGATTGTATACAAGTAAGTTAAGTAGAGAGCAAATATACAGATGTACTGATATATACAGATACATGTAGTATAAATGGTGGAATAGTTATGAACAGATTATGTACAGAGAGACCAACAATACAGCTGAACTACAGACAAATGTACAGCATACAGATGTTCTATATTGCTATACAGACGGGGCAGATATAGAGGTTTACTATGAACAAATATACAGATGTGCTACATATATACAGATGTATCGTGTGGATAAACAGATCTACAGAGCACTATGAATATATCTACAGTAGTGGAAGCGTAGCTCTCTGAACAGACTATAATAGTGAACAGTGTACGCAGTAGACTATACTATGTCAGTGTCCTAAAACTATAGCATTAACCAATGTGAGCATACAGTGAATGTTGAGAATGAAATGATCATGGTCCCTGGGAGGAGGAGTGTAGAAGGGTTAAGTGAGTGTGGATGGAAAGGTTCAGCAGGAGACTGAGCTCAGTGGGGTGACAGCTGTGGGGAAGAAGCTGTTTCTAAACCTGCTGGTTTTAGTCTGAAGGGTCCTGTAGCGCCTTCTGGAGGGGAGAAGCTGCAAGCGTTTATTGACAGGATGAGAGGAGTCCCTGAGAATGATGCGTGCTTGGCGTAGACATATCTTCTTATGGACCTCCGCAATGGCAGGAAGTGGAGTCCTATGATGCATTGGGCGGTTTTCACCACCCACTGCAGTGCCTTGTGGTCAGCAACAGAGCAATTCCCATACCAGACTGTGACACAGTTGGTCAGGATGCTCTCTACTGCACAGCGGTAGAAGTTACTCAGTATGTCAGTATGTGGTTCTTCTTCAGTGCTCTCAAGAAAAAGAGGTGCTGATGGACCCTCTTGACTAGGCTGGAGATGTTAGTTGACCAGGCCAGATTCTCAGGGTCCCCAAGAACTTGAAGCTGGAGACCCGTCAACAGCTGTGCCATTTATGTAGATTTAGATGCCATCTATCTTCTCTCTCTTGAAGTCCACAATGAGCTCTTTGGTTTTGCTGGTACTCAGGAGCAGGTTAATGTCAGCACCACACAGCTAGGTGCTTTACCTCTTCCCTCTAGCCAGACTCCTCGTTGTCACCGATGAGTCACCGTGGTGTCATCTGCAGACTTGGTGATGGACTTGGATCCATACCTAGGTTTGCAGTCATAGAGGAACGGGCTCAGCACACAGCCCTGTGGAGTGCCGGTGTTGAGTGTGATGGTGGTAGAGCAGTTATGGCCTGACCTAACATGCTGGGGTCTATTGGTCAGAAAGTCCATGATCCAGTTACAGATGGAGTTGCTGATTCCAAGATCCACAAGTTTGGTGATCGCCTTTAGGGAATAACTGTACTGAATGCTGAGCTGAAGTCAACAAACAGCATTCTTGCATAAGTATTGCATAAATATCTGAGTACACATTGCAAGACACTACATTCTCAGATCATATCCAGTGTGTGATGGAAAATGTGCAACGATTCTACAAAAATGTTCCACATGGTTAGGTTTTTTTTCTCTCTCTTCCTACTGGTGATAATCCAGTGGGGCTCCAGTCACTCCAGGCTCCCTTGTGGTTCCACAAAACGGACTGCAAACAAACTCGTGCATCCATGACTGATCCTGCTGCTTCCACTGCACTTCACTTCTGTATGAATTGATCTTTTCATGACTGTTAACTTTGGACAAAAAGGAAACAGAGGTGACACTGACTTCTGGCTTCGCAGGATGATCCCTCTTAACACCAAGAGCACGCACACAGTTTGTTTTAGGCCACCATGAATAGATCACATTGTAAATCACAGAGCCAGTATTTTATGCTGAAGCTTACACTCACTGTGACAGGATGGCTCATAGGAGGTCATTACACTCTGCTTCATTTGGGTCCAGTTCAGATTAAGGGACAACACATGGAAAGACAGAAACTGGAAACAAATGTTTGAAAAATATTTACTGGTAGAAAACATTCAGTGAAAATAATATTCATTTTTCTGTTTGGCAAACTTCAAATCTGAGTCACCAAAAGCCAATCAGACAAGAGAGTTGGTATAAACAGAGAGAGGAGATGAAGCTTCTTTTAGACAGAGGAATGAAAATATTTAGATTCACTTTAAAGGACAATTCTCTATTTTTAGCACATTCCAGTTTCACTTTCTTGCCATTAGTAGGAAACTGTACAGAAGGTACAATTAGCTTAAAATACATTAACACAGAAAAGTAAGAGTGTGATTCTGGTAAAAGATAAAACCGAAAATTTAGAATTTTTAAAGGTCCCTGCTCACAGACCTCTCTGCCTCTTTTCTTAACTGCAGTATATATGCTTGATTATTTGCACTACATTGCAGTGTACAGTTAGACTATGATTGTATCCATGGGGCTTGAGAACAATTACATTTGTTCACACACTCACAGTGTATTCATTTTCAAAGATCAGTGAGCACTTCTTTAAGGCTGGTCTGGAGACATTAAACTGCTCTAGGTGACAGAAAGTGTTGTAACGACTAAGAAGACAGTATTAATCCCTAAATTTGGTACACATTAAGACAGCTGTGATTTATGTTTTGTGTATATTATGTGTTGAGGTTTTCTCTTTGTGACCGAGGTCCTTACTGGCAGTGAGATTTGTATTGAGCATGCACATATGTGCTGTTCCAGAAACGTGATGTTTTCTTGTCTTACCATGTCCAAACTAATTTAGAAATTCTACAAGACATGCTGTGTAAGTAAATACAAACAACGAAAGTTTGATCTGCATTTATTGAAAGATCATATCCCACAAACTTAGTTTAGAGGGTCCACACTGTCTACACTGTATTTAGTGAAGTCTGCAAGTTTTTGAACAGTGAAATTTGTTTTGTGCCCAAATCATTTTGCAGATCATCAGAACGAAAAGTTATTGGCCATGTTTGCATAGCCCTTTTCAAAAATATGCTTTCCTGACATTATTGTGTGTCGGATGGTGGTCAGGGCTATCCAGGCTGACAAGTGGGACATTGAATGTTACTTCTATGGTGGGGAGGGAGCCTGAGATTGTCTAAATTGGGGGTCGGTTCTATAGCAAATGTAGAAAAAATGTTTTAAGAAAGCAAATAAGTCGGTGTTCTCAAAAAATATGATTGTTTTCTTGCAGGACACCAGGAGAGATGAGTCCTCCGTCACAGATGGTGTGGTCAGTGAAGATGGCCACCTTTAAGGTCATTGCATCTCCAGCCCACATCCACTGCCACTGTACTTAAGGGAAGGTAAAGACTTTCTTCACTTACATTTGGATCATCTAAATCCACGACAGTCATTCAGGCAGACTTTCTACAAAAAAGAATATAGATTATAATAGATCCAATAGATACAACAGCAGTAATGCTAAACATATAGCACCATTAGTAAAGACTAGGTCAACCTATTCGACTACAAAAACAATGACCCTAATAAAGGACCAAACAAACAAAAAAACAGAGAACTCCTCCTCATTAAGACCAGGATAACTGGTGGGCTTAAGGGTACAAATCCAATATGCCTCTGTTCGTGTTAGGCATGTGATTCCCCCACATCTGGTATCAAGATAGTACTCTCAATACCAGACACTCTTTCAGTCACTCCCATGATGTGCTGCCATGTAGTATTTGGCTATATAATCGCCAGTGTGAATGGCTTACCTACATTTATTAAGCCTGTCCTTGATTCATTTCATCAGATCTACAGAGAAACAAAAACACCTCTAGTGCATCTGAGATGGTATATGGTGTGAGTTATGACAAATGGGCAACTTCTGGTAAACGGTTGTGTACAACAACGACATACAATGAAACTACAGAAAATAAAATGTTGAAAACAAGTTAAATGTTTTGTTCTTGAAATATACAAAAGGGCAAAAAAGTAAAAGAATTTAACGCCTAAGTATTATTGTAATGCTTATAATCCCGCTCCCAAAGCAGCTGGTTAGTGTGCTCATGCGCAGGCTGGCTCTGATTTGCATAATTCACAATTGAGTAACCTTATCTTTCTTACACTGGGTATTGGTGGAGTTCCCTCAGTTCATACTCTGAAACAAGCCACTCTAGGTCATCTTCCTGGCTGGCTGCTCCTTGCAAACATAAGGTTTGAATACCAGGTGGGTGAGGGTTGTGTGCTCACACCCAGAGGACTCTAACAACATTATACTCTGCAGCTAGATGTGACACACTGGTCTGTCAGAGTTTACAAAATGAGCAACAGAAGTAAAGTCGAAAGCTCTGGAACTCAACTTTGGTGATAGAGGATGAAGCTGTGTCTGAAGATGAAGGCCATAATGATATTAATTCTGAATCTGACGATTATATACCAAATGAGGGAACTGGAATTTCTCCATTAAACATAATAAAGACAACGTCAGGGCCCACTAGAATGTCAGTGACTCGTTTGCTAAATATCAAGTCAGGTTTTGACTAATTTAGAATTAGATCGTCATTGAACCATGATCTGTGAGAGGTAAATAACACCACTGCACTTAATATTGACTGAAATAGTAACGGCATTAACAATGAGATATAAACAATATTTATTGGACACTTTTGGATAATTGCCCTGGGTCAACAACACAATGGGAAGCCTCTCTTTTACAGAATTACATGTGCCAATGAAACATTTTAACAGTATGCCTATAAGAAAAACCAGCCTTGAGGCAACCATAAAAATGCTGTCCAGTATGTATTGGGCAATATAAGCTTTATTTTGCATATCTGGGTAACTAAACAGCCATTTAAAACAATCATGAATATGTTTGAACACATAGCAATATTTCCAGAATTGTTTTACAATTATAAAACACTGAATTTTGGCACCACACGGTGGTTAAAAACTGGTAAAAGACAAGCCATCTCTGCTCCAATACCTCCTGCTTGAGCTGCATGTAGGCAAGTAGATTAAATCAGGGCATTTTAGATGAATCACTACATAAAGAGTATGGGCATACATTACATGAGAACCTGTAAGACAAACATTGCAATGGAGTCATCAGACAGTTAACACAATGTAAGGGCTCGAATGTGTAATCTCTGTTGAAGACCACTGAACTGTTGACTTATACGGTTGATTTTGGAATCACAGTTTAAAGAGGTCTGCTCTCTGATCTCAAACTACAGCTTTAATTAGCTCTTGAAAAGTCAATAGCCTCCATAGAGATTCAACATCAAGATCCTTATTATTCCGTAATTGTGCAGGAACTGTGTGGAGCGCAGATGTAGTCGTTCTAGTAACCCACAGTTATACAAGCTGTAATCTCTCCCTCCAGTGGTGTTTATTAGTAAGCAAATAAGGAAAAGTCACGTTAGGTTAATGCTTCTACGGGTGATGTTTAGTATGTGATGGCATCTTTTTATAGACAGAACAAAATGCACACATTTAGGCTGACAAATATTCTCAAAAGTATGCAAAAATGATTTATGTACTTTAAAAAAAAAAAGAAAGACAAAAAAAAGGCAAAGTAAAATATTTCATGTTTTTACCCCCAAAAATGAAACATTCCTCTACATGTTATTTAAAACGTATCCAGTTTAATTTTTCAGGAGATGAATATGTACACTTTTAATTTCATCATTTGCCTCAGGAAGTGAGCAGTTTACTGTATAATAGATTTACATAGCAAATACTGACATAGTATTCTGTCAAGGCATGTTCCAGCATCAAAATAGGCTTCAAAGTACATAATATTGTTCCACATAAAATAGAAAATCGCAGATCATATTATAATTGTTTTAGGGTATCCAAAAATCTGAACACCCCCCCGCCCCCATCAATGTACTCTCGTGCGTGATAATTACAATGACAATCAGCAGTTCTTATAGATGCACTAAAAGGAAATAGCAGCCAGAGGGGGGGAGGGGAGGGCGGACAGGTAAAAAATATACTTCTTCTAAAGGATTTACTCTTGAGCTATCAAATAGATTAAGGCAATAAAAAAAAACAAAAGAAAAACAAAACTTGTAGTGTAATTTGGCAATTCTCATTTTTTATTTTGCTTTCATCAAAGAGTCATCCAGCCTCCACATGACAGCGATTCAGGGTTTCTACTATCCTGAGATGTTTTCTTCTGCTTGAAGGCATCGGAGGACATAGAGGATCACTTGATAGCAGAAAATATACTGCTCCTGAAAAAGGAAAAGAAAAAGAAAAAAAAGAGGGAAATGTAAGGGAAAGCTTGGGAGCTACTAAGATGTGTAAATGCTACTAAGCTTAAAACCAAGTCACCTCTGTTTGGACCATTCCTTGTCTCTGAAGCCTCATGTTCCTGACAACGTCTGAAATATCAAACTACCAAAAGAAAAAGAAAAAAGGAGATTAGAAGTGATACTGAAAAAAGTTATTATTAAATTTATAACATGAAAAATACTGACATCTGCATCTTTACTGATGAGACCCAGAACCACATCAATGCAGATGAGGGTCCCTGAACGACCAATGCCTGCACTGCAGTGTGTGATTATAGGCCCCGACTGATGAACGTGCCGCATGTAGGATATGAACGTGAGCAGCTGCTCAGGTTGTGAAGGTGTCCCATGGTCGGGCCATCCAGTGTAGTTTAGATGAGTAACAATCTGGTTTTCATTAGTCTGGAAAGAAGGAAACTCATATGTCAATGTGGACAATTCAAGTAGAAACATCTTAAATTAGGGATGTCAAACATAAGGCCAGAGGGTGAGAAACAGTCCAGCAAAGAGTCCAATCCGGCCCACTGGTCTGCTTTGGAAAATTAAGAGTGTGTAGATTTTGGACTTTATCAATAGCGAAAGCTGTAAAACATAAGACCCATCACCCCTAATTAGCATTCATATTACACCACAGTAATAGTCTGATATTAATAAAACTAAAAAATTAAACTTGATGTGAAAAAACATTTTAACTAAAATAAACCTACAAACTAAACTGCGATGTAAAGTTTGACATCCCCCGTCTTAAATTATCTGCACAATCGATCTATACACCGATATACATGATACATATTTACCTGGACATCTTTGACCTCGATGACACGGATGACGAAGTTGTCCAGGTGCTGGTCTTTGATAAGTGTTATCTGTAATCTGTCATCCACCATCTCTGCCGTCCTCGGCGTGTCTGGCCAGTACCGCTGACATTTGACTTTCCCCCCCTCAACCTCCTGGGTCATCATTGCAATCACATTGGACTTCTGCTCCCACACCATCTGCCAGAAGTCCCCTAGAGTAGTGGGTAAGGGTCCTTGACAGGCAATGTACATGAAGTTCTCGTCCTTCACCGACATATTAATGAAGTTGGCATTGATGTAGCCTCCGTCTTTACCGAGGACAACACGAGTTGTGTCAACTAGAAGAGATGTCATGAAAAGTTTCAGGATTAAAATTTGAAGTCAGAGAAAAAAAGTACTAAAAAAAGCCATTAAAGTACAGTAGATGTACTGTAATAAAAGAGGATGTAGCCTCAGACCATGAGAAGAGACACAAGTGCTGTGGTTGGAGCATGAGGGGACAGTAAACATTTTATGGACAACTTTGTGGTTTCAGTTGTCAGTCTTATTTAATAGAGAAAGTTTATTTTAAGATGGGACTACTTTGCACACGACAAGTCTCTACATCTTAAAAGTGTGGAGTGTCTAGGTGTGGGGAAGAGGGAACTGATAAAGCATAGTATCATAATAATATATTTTCTTCCGCTTATCTGGGGCTGGGTCGCGGGGGCAGCAGCCCAAGCAGAGAAGCCCAGACCTCCCTCTCCCCAGCCACCTCCTCCAGTTTACACCAAGACGTTCCTAAACCAGCCGAGAGATATAATCTCTCTAGTGTGTCCTGGGTCTGCCCGGGCCATCCTCCCGGTGGGACATGCCCGGAAAACCTCGCCCAGGGGGCATCGTTGTCAGATGCCCAAACCACCTCAACTGGCTCCTTTCGATGTGGAGGAGCAGCGGCTCAGAGTAGAGCAATCCGTCTGTCGATCTCCTGCTTCCTTCTCCCATCACTCTGAACAAGACCCCGAGATACTTAAACTCCTCCACTTGTATCGATATAGGGACACCAAATATTAGCATCTTATTATATAAAATGTCAATAAAATTATAACTCTTTAGTACTAGTATAATAAATCAATTACTTTTTCAATCCAAAATAGCATTCAGCATGCGGGAGCATAATGGAGGTATCAAAGAAAGAAATCAGGAAAGTGCTGTCTATATCTGAATATGGACCTATTTTGGAATTTCCTAAAAAAAAAAAAAAAAAAAGGTTGGAATATTTAAAATGAGGTCCAGATCAAAGTAAAATACTCTTGAGATAATACGAGTATAAGGGCTCATGTCACAAACTGCCAAAACCTGCTGAGAATAGCGAGGTAATCAGCTCAACCGAAAAACCAACCAACACTGGGCACACTTAGTTTGACAAATCTAGGTTCCAATTTAGAGGAAGTCAAGAAATCACCTATTTTATGTGAAAATATCTGCATCCACACAACACTGAGAAAAAAAATGAATAGGGAACTGCATGTTATAAAAAAAATAGGAAGCCAAGTGTGCGACACTTCTCTACAGTGAAGTCGAGGGTGACGTTGAAGAAGGTTTGCGAAAGGGTTGCAATATATGCTATTGTAATGTGACAATATATTTGAAATTCAATACTATATGTTGGGTTAGTATCATTATAATATCTGATTCCAATTACTCTGACAGTGACTTTGCTTTCAGATCCACACTTCGTTTGTCACACATGGACCAAGACAAGAACTGCTAAAATGCTCAAGCTGACATTTCACAACAGTAGTCTACAAACCAGTGGGTGATGTCACAGTGGCTACAACCATCGTTCATATACAGTTCATAGTCCATGTTATTAATAGTAATCACATAGGGAACTGCTAGTTTTTCTTACAGGGGACAATATTCTTATAGCGGTTCTTCTTCTTGTTCTCCTTCGTCTGACCGATCAAACAGTCGTCCAGCGGCTGGAGATTCTGAAGATTCTGCCAGAACGGAAAATGGATATTCAGAAAAATCTAATGAAAACTATTGTGATTTATTCTTTGGCAATGAAATTCAAAGAGTCATACTTCAAACTCCTGTAGAGGCACTTTCTGTTCCAAAAGTCCCCTCATCATGCGAACCACACTGTTGAGCTTTTGTCCCGTGTACTGGCCTTCAGGGACCACTCTGACAAGGGGCAAAGAGGTCAGCTGGTCCTCTGTGATGATTGGCCCGTCTGTGCGAAGACATAAACGAGGGAATTAAAAGTTTTGTAAGTAACTTATGACAATTATTTACATGTATTGTCTGAGACACTGACTCCTACCATCTTTTGACTTTGAGTTCATGTTTTCAATTGGCAGTTCATCGCTTCCCCACGTGATTTCATCATCGTCTGGCTGCCCAGCACTCATCTGCAGGTAGCTGTTGGTTCAACACAAACAGCCAAGAGGTCTTAATATAAATGATGTACAACCTTAAATCTGATGAGTGCACATCTAAAAAGTAAAATCGTACTTTTCATTGTGTGGATTGTCAACACTTTCCTCATTCCATCTCACCTTTCGGGAGTTCTGCAGTAAAAAAAACAAACAAACAAACAAACAAAAATCAAATGACACAAACAAAACAACATCAGAAAAAGCAGACTGTTGTTTCTGTGGTTTCTCAAATGGCGAGTTTGATTTGTACCTCAGGAGAATCTTCTGGTAAAGAAGAGCCATCGCCGTCCGTGTCCTCCGAAAGCTCTGTGCCCTGCTCGGTCTCTCTCCTCTCTCCTAGTTCATCATCATAGTCTGTGAAATATGGGAATGTAGTTTATGTTGTTTTGTTGTTGTTGTTTTTTTTACACATTTCTAACTTTCCAGTTCATTCTGCAGCCTGTGTGTGCTATACCTATAGGCGGTATGACAGGACACAGTTTAGTCTTCATGCTACTGTCGCCACTCAGACCTGAAATAAACACGAGCAGGTTGCTTTAGAAAATATTCAGAAAGAAAAATACACTCATGAGACAAAAGTTTAAAAAATACAAGTGCATGATTTTACCAGTATTTCCATTGCACTTGTCGGAGTTGATGGGTAGAGAGGCCAGGTATGTGTTCGGGTTCTGGTCTGGTGGTCTGGATACAATAAGATGCACCAGGCCTTTAGTTTTACGGATGGTGGTGACAGCTTTGGTATGGGACACACCTGTCATTAGCTCTTCATTCACCTACAAGACAGAGAGCCAGTCAGTCAGGGCTGTATACAGTCTCAGAAAATCCACAGAAAATACTTTCTTTACTTTGTAGCCAATTATTTACAAAATGTTCACAAAAAGAAAATGCTTTTTTAAATTATTTTAAATTCTGTGTTATTACAACACAGAATTTAAGAGATTCATGTTAAAAACAACAACAAAAATAAATAAATGTAATGTGTTTTGTTTAACAAAGCACATTCCAAGTCCAAAAACACTCACTTTAAGCAGCCTGTCTCCTACTTGCAGCTTGCCTGAGGACTCTGCTACTCCTCCTGGTGTGATGGATTTAACAAAGATCCCTCTCTCCCCTCCAATTACGGAAAACCCCAGACCTCCTGACGGCGGCTTCTCCAGATCTACCTTTATGATCTCTTCCTGCGTTTTCAGCAAACAAATGTGGAGTCACCTTTGATTTGTCATTCAACACTTCAGCAAGTTACTTTTTTTGTTGGTTTGGGTAACTGTCTGCGTTCCATTAACAATAACACCTGATGAACTCCACCGACATATTTCATAGCTGTTTGCTTGGCAAAACATAACCAACACAAGAACATGTTTTCACCCCCAGGCACCAACATAATTAAAAAAACAAACAAAAAAAACTCACCTCTATAGGACAAAGTGCTGCGAGACCTTCTGTATCTCTTAATTCTTCCCCTTTAAGGAACCCTTAAACAGAAAACAAAAGTTGCAGTTACGCTTATCCCCATTATTACTTTGGTTTATTGAGTTTTTATTATCATCCCCTTTTTAAAATAAAGTTTTCACACCATCTTTAAATATTTGGCAAGTAAGAAACTTGATATGAGTAAATCTATTCTTATTTAGATCGATTTATCAGTGCACCTGTAAGTCACATTTCTTTAGATTATAAAGCATACCATTCATGGTGGATGAAACCGTCGTGCTAACATTGTTGTTGAGAAAAGAAAGACTTTTCTGCATAGGACAAACTGGCTTTCCATCCCTGTTAGAGTAAATTTAAGAAAATAAAAGTTACCGAGATTATTGTTAAGATCTTGTATTTTCTGTAATGTGCAATGCTATTAAGACAAAAAACATAAAAACAAGCACCAAAAAAATTCACAAAGGATAGATGTTATTCTTTTTTAGTGTAGACTACCTTGTGGCTTTTAGCGTGAGTTCACTGGGGGAGTGCTCCAATAGCCTAGTGCTCTCACTGAGAGTCAGGTCCTGGGTAGGGGCCCCATTGATGTAGTGGATTAGGTCAAGTGGCATTAAGCTTCCTTCTTTAGAGGCTAATGAACCCGGAAGAATATCTTTCACATATAAGATCCCGTACAAACTGTCACTACCACCATCCAGTACCAAACCTGGGGAATGAATAAAGAATAAAAATATTAAGATTTGATTTTTAAGAACTAATTTCTGATGCAACCTTTGGGAAGATTTTCAAGACATTAGTGGCTTAATGTGAGACACACCAGTGATATTTTCTTTTCTTAATCAAGGTCGTTTCTTACCCAGTGGTTCTTGGTTCATCTTGAAGTAAATGTCAGGCAGCAGATGAGCTTCTATGGGGGGTTTAGGAACCTCCAGGACCCTTCCTACCACCAAGTCAACCACCCGAGGGGCAGCACGCACAAGATTGACCACCTCAGTGTGGCCCATATCGCTCACATCAGTGTTATTCACCTGTAGACAAAAAACATTCATTCAATGTGTAATGGTTTGGGAAACACAAAGGAACAGAGAGCCAGACTGTTTCCAGTTTGTACTTGATAACCGCCTCTATATGTCTGTGTAGGTTCTCAGTCATCCAGGTCATAATAATCGAAGGAGCTTGGAAAGAAAAGCAACTGGACTTCTTTAAGTTTCCATAGTGTCCATTGATGTAGTTTCACTCTTTAGTTGCATACCTACAACTGAGGCAGTGGAGACTGTCAGAAAATCAACTACAGCAAGACAGCTTCTTAGAAAACAGAACTAGTTTTACCCCGATCAGATTTGCACACTATTAGACCTCTGCCTTAGCACCACATAATTTAAATACAACAAGGGTTTCTGCAGACAAAAACATGGATGTGCCATGGCCTACCCAGTGTCTTCCAATGTAGCCAATCTTTACATGGAGCTAGTAGAAAGTAAAGTTCTTGGCTCTTTCAAAGGGACAGCACCTAGCCACTGGTACTGATACATGGTGCAGGCTGTTCACATCAACTCAGTGGAAACAAAGTCACCAGGGGAGACAAAGGATAACAGTTTGCCATTTCTGGGCCGTGCTGTGCACATTGAGGAGAATGGAAACCTCAACATTAAAGTTTAGCCCCCACACACAGACAAGTACCTGCTTTTTGACTCCCACAACCCTCTGGAACACAAACTTTGAGTAAACAGGACTCTGCAACACCGGGCAGAATACATTCCTTCTAAGCCAGGTGGAAAAGAAACGCACACATGTAGAGAAAACTCTTAAAACATGCGGTTATCCCAACTGGGCTTTCATCAAATCAGCAAAGATGCACAGTAAAGAAGGTCACCAACTAGGGAGAAACAGAAGGACAAACGGACAATCCCTTATGTAGCAGGTTTGTCAGAGAAGCTCAGGAAAATTATCTTCGAGCACGAAAACCCAGCCACACACTCAGACAAAAACTGGCTCATGCCAAGGACAAAACTCCCAAACACATACTAAACAACAGGAAAACCAAACAGCCACCTCATAAACACATGGCACAAGACAGAAGAGCCACCTCAACAGGACAAGACTCTGCATCTAAAAGAAAAAAGGTCAATCTTTCAATGATGCTAATGTTCACATTTTAGACAGAAAAGGCAGATAGATGGCTTTTTTCACTCCTCTTGCAAACTATGTCCATGTGAATGACCATCCTTGAACAGAGGGGGTGGCTTGCGACACCAGCTGTCTGCCATCTATAATCCAGTTTTGAAATCCCTTCCCAGGTGTGTTAATGCCCTCTTACATCTTGCGTCAGCTGATCTCAATACGTCACACAACAGGGTGAGGCAAGGTCTCACAATGATTTCACCTGAAACCTCTGCTGATAATGATAATCCACACGCTTTTCACACCTTGGCACATAGTGAATAATGGGAATTTATACCGTGATCATTCGGTCCCCGGGCCTGAGCCTTCCATCTCCTTTGGCTGGATCCTGGATGATGTCATGTATGTAACATCCATGATCATTGCCTTCAGTGAGGGTGAAGCCAAGGCTGCCCTTTTCTGACTTCACCAAAGAGACCTGTAGCTCTACTTCCTAGCAACAACAAAAACACATAACCTCAGTAACAGGAATAACATCTTGATCCACATTTTAGTGGAAACCCTAAAATGATTAGATTATGATTCCCTTCCTCAGTTCTTACTGGGATGAATTCATCTCCATCCTGTCCATTGCCAGGTGCAGTGAGGTTCAAGGGCAGAGGTAGCGGAGGAGGCAGGGGATCTGGGCTTGGGGAAGACAGGGAGGACACCTTCGGAAAAGTGGATGACTCCAGATCAGATCCCACTGGGGATGAAAGTCCCCTGACCAAACATCCACAAAGCCAAAATTTAGCAAAAACACTAATAATCACATTTATAACTGATAATGCTAATCGAGTATTTAACATTAGATGAATTACCGGTTGCTGAGGTCTGATCTCGTCATTGACAGATTTGAGGAATAAAAAGCTGAGTGCATGTTGTCATCCAGATGACCACTGCTGTCGTAGCGTCCCAGTCCCGGGTTGCTACCGGAGGTCTGGTAAACACTCCGCTCCCAGTTCTGCCTGCTGTTCTCCACAGAGCCTGCGCTGAAAGCTTCTTCCACCTCCTCATCCCCATCGGTGCTGTCGCTGTAGCTGTTGCGTCGGCCAGGGGTTCTGTGTAGCAGCCTCTCCAGGGCGTCTTCCACAGGGCCCTGTTTCTTACTCCCTGGAGCAGACGTGAGCCTTTCTAAGTTCAAGCTGGGCTCTCCAAATGTCCCTGGTGTCTTTCTAGGCGATGGCTTAGGCGTCTAGGAAGAAATTTGGTTCAATTTAAGTTTTCAACTAATGCTTGAAAGACTCTCAGTGATGAGGAAAATATTAAGTGACTCACCAAAGCTGCAGTGTCCATCTCAGGAAGAATGCCATGTTCAGGTCTACAGAGAAGCAAAGTCACCTCTTGACCAGTTCCTCTCAGAGCGGATATCACCTCCTACACAAAATGTAAAGGAACCACAATTTCAAACACATTATGACAGCAAATAACTTTGATGTGATTCTTAAATGGGAACTGAGACAAAGTGTATCACATACATGTTGCGAGAGTCCTTTGAGTGGGGTTTGATTGACACGCAAGATGACATCACCAACTTTGATACGACCGCTTTCTGCAGCTGGCTGGCCAGGAAACAGTTTTTTAACCCTCACCATGCTGGAGCCAGGGGGTTCGTTGGGGATGTTCTCCTCTCGGCTAAAACTGAAACCCAGCCCTGATGTGTTTTTCAGCAGGCACACCTCAAACATATTATCTGTGAAACAGAACACATGAATTTGCAGTTATTGCCATAGATGGTCAATGAATGGTCACACAGAATAAGATAAAATATAAAACCAGAATGGATGAATTATAGCTTATAGCACAAAACTAAAAGATAGTCCAGCTCTTGTTGCAGAAGAGCAATTTATGTAGAGTCTGCCCATCTACTCAGCTCTAATACAACAGCAGTGTGCAAACGATGGGTTGTACACACATGCTCATTTGATCTTGATGTAAGTCTTGGTGTAACACTGCGAAAAAAAAAATACATTGTATGACCAAATTTGATTGTTTACAGGTGGACACAAGTATCAAAAAGAAATGGTGCATATATCTTAAAAAGTCTGTTAGCCTTATTAAAACTCAAGATGGCTGTTGGCAAAAGAAGACAATATAATTTGTTATTCAGAGTAACTATAAAGTAAATGTCAAATCACATATGTTCAATAATGTAGAAATTTACTTTAGAAGTCTGAAACTACTTTTTTTTTTTCTTTTTAAATCATTTGCAAACAGTCTCCAGTAGTACAGGAATTACTATTCATTTCCATTACATCTGCTGGATGGACCCTTACATTCTCACCTGCAGAAAAGCAAACTCGTATTGCTTATGGTTGCACAAGAGTTAGAGGAGGTTGTCTACTATTCCCAAGATCAGTGGCTTGATCTACTGCGTCCGTATATGGAAGCAAAATACTGTAAAACGCCTCTTAAGCATCTATCTGGGCTTTAAAAAGTGGCTGCAGGTTGCAGTATAAAAGTAATTCGTGTGCTAGGTGAGGGTAAAAAAAACAAACAAAAAAAAACAAAACACAGAAAAACCGCATTATAGAAACTACAGTCGTTTTACAATGACTAAACTAGGAGAGGGTGGAACATTAACCAACTAACCTAACTTACTTGATGGTGCAGTTAGATTAGTTATGCAGGTAAGTTAATACATCAAAGAGCTGGGCAGCGGAGTGGGGCATGTGTTGCCTTGGAGCAAGAAGGTATGAACCTGCCAAAAGACCTGCCTGTCAGGTTATTCTAAAGTCCCTTTTTGGTGCCATAGTAAGTGGTTATCTGTCTCTCTGCAACTGCCTGTTGAAAAGATAAGTGGCTATTTAAAAAAAGAATAAAAAAACCTTAAAATTAAAATAATAGCATGGTGTGCCCTGAGAGCCTGGGTAAAAGAGTCTTTATGCATTAAACACGTGAAATTCACTGAATTGCACAGGGGAAAAAATGGCACCTAATGAATATTAAATGTCTGAACCTAGCTTTGTTGCAGTGCTACGAAAGAGGTCAAAGGATAATCCCTCAACCTGCACTTTGCTGTGCATTTTCAATGATAATTAGACCACTGAAATTAGACCACAGAAAACAGGAAAACGCATTACAGGGTGCGTTAAAATGGATCTCCAATCCCAAAATAAACCACACCACATCCTTTACCTTGTGTGATGAAGCTGTACTCTGGTTTTTCTTTGGCTTCGAGTGTCTGCTCCTTGTTCTTGGTCGGACTTCTGTCGTAGCCAGTGCTGGCAGATGGTGGAGTGTTCTTAGGTGTGAGGGGAGCGTGGATGCTGTTTGCAGGTACGTGACCCCTCTCCAGCAACAAGTGCACTGTCTGAGCCACGCAGGAAGTAAAACTAAGTGTTAAGATGCCAGCTAGGCAGCAACATAATTTAAAGATACTGCTCACATGGTGGCTCATGGGAACTGTCATCCCCTCACCTGTCCGGTGTCTCTGAGAGCCTCTACCGCTTGTTGATGAGTGGCCCCCTCCAGGCTCTTTCCATTGACGGCCACCACACGATCACCTAAGCCGCAGACAGACAGGTATTGCCCAAAGACGAAAGAGTCTAAATTTCATCCAATTTCATTTTTTCCTTTGTGCTACATATTTGTTACACTAGTGCCTACCTTTCTGTATCCTTCCATCAAGCTCTGCAGCACCTTTTGGTATAAGACCTTTCACATAGATGCCTCCATGTCGGACAGCAGTGCCAGCTCCTCCCTAAGATAATGACAGAACTCTTAGTGAAATGAGCCAAAGAGAAAATGCATAATTCTTTATTTGTCTGTGGGGGTTGATGGCAGGGTTGGATGTGTTTTATATGATAACTGCTTTATCTTTATTGTGGCTTCAGAACTGTGAAGAGAATATCAAACTGTACAAGAGAAGTATTTTAAAGTAATTTTAACAGAAAATTCAAGACCAGAAGTTTATATTTCAGTTTTTTTGGATCAGGGGTTGAATGAAGCTTATACTTTGGTGCATAAGAACTGTCACAGGTGGAGTAGATGATGATTTTGAAGTTTAGCAAGTTTTGTCAAAGACCAAGTTAAAACTTGGTTTTAGACACTATGAATCATGACAACATGACACAAGCTCCTTTTCCTCTTGTTCAAATGACCTTTTAGGTGGATTTTGTGATTCTGGAGTTTGCTTAGGTATTAAACAAAGCTCTTATTATTTTTAAATCTTCTAAAAATTTAAAAAGACCAACCACACAAGTTCACGTGTGACAGCAGTCTGAAGACATAATAAAGTGATTTGTTAAAATGGTTTAGTGGTTTAATTAACCCAAGTCAATCATATTCAAAATTCCAGAGAGACTAATTAGAGCAGTGATTACTCACATCATTTAAAGTCCCTACTGTAAGAGATACTGTGACATTTCTTTCTTTCAAATCCTTCTTGATTAAAAAATAAAGTTGACATGCATGAGGGTTAGTATTACCACAAGAACGTCCAACACACGGCAATAAGAAATGAAACCAAACCAAACAACATGTGAACTGGATGAGTCGGGGGGGAAAAAAAGGTGCAAAACAAAGAAAAGGGTGAAAACCTTGCCGAACAGTACCGTGACACTTAAGCCCAGGCTGCTGTCTTTTTTGGACAGCTCAATGTCATATAGTTCTCCTGGATGGAGACTATTGACCCCTGAGGCATTACCATTTAAATTTTCCATGATGTTTTCCTGCAAACAGAGAATAGGGCATTACAGTGAATTATCACAAGCCTGAACATGCAGAAAGAAATCAAGGTGAGTGAGTAGACTGACTAAACAAGCCGATACAGTGAAAAAACACACAAGGAATATCATGCAGCAAACAGTTGCAATGCAGCCTTTCATTGACAGTGTAAATGCAATGACAGGCAAATGTTATAAAGAACAGGCAGTTAGTTGTGCCAAGCATCAGGTTATATGTAATGCTTGTGTATAGAAAACAAACAATCATATTCTGTTCCATTAACATAAGCAAATTTCTACTAGAAGACACAATTCTGTGTATTATACTTAACGGAGCTCCTAATTGAGAGCCTAGGGCAATGTATAAAAGCAGGGAATCCATTAAAATGAGTCCATTTAAAAAAATAAACAAACCTTTTTGACCTTTTGTTTCTCTTGACTACTTGAATAAGTTTCCTCGTCCATGTCTGAATCTCCCCGGTCAGAATGCTCAGAGACTTTGGGAGCTTCCAGCACTTTAGATTTTCTAGTTTTGGGAGGTAGAGCTGGTGGTGTAGGATCAGGACCTACATTTGGATGTTGGGCTGTGGGTGCAGCACTCCTTTCTAGGTATTGCTGAACTCCACCAGGGGCTTGGTTGGTTTTAGCCACAATGCTCGTCTTAGAGTCTTGAGAACTGAGGGCAGTGTGCTGTTGAGCTGGTGATGAGTTAGAGGACTGTATGCCAGCACCACTTTGCTGTGGAGGGCTGGGGCTTCTTGTTCCTGCATGCTCTTCTGAGGAGGTATCAAAGTCCAGTTCTTGTTTCTGAGCAGAGTTAAGGGACTTAAATGAAGACCTGTGCTGGTAGGGTGAATATCCTCCAGGAGATTCTGTCGGAACAAAAAAGGTTTTGGATAAAAGTCAGGATCAATCCTGACAAGGTGCACATGAAAACAAAAATTATACCTGTAACCCTGATTTTACCTTTGTAGAGCCTCTCTTTGGGCTGTGATACGACGAGAGTAACGTCATCAGGAGAATTCTGAAGTATATCAACCACGGTCGTGTGAGAAAGTCCTTCTAGGCTTTTCTCATTTACAGAGATCAGCCGGTCACCTGAATCAACAAGACCACCATTGCTCACACAGACAACAACTACTCATATTCACAGCAAGAATGAAACAACCTTAAGAGCTAACCATCAGCACAAGCAGACAACAAGAACACCATCATCTGAATACGGAAGGTAGAAAGTGGCAACAAAAAAGTAGCATACCGGGTTTGAGGCAGCCATTGATATCAGCGGGACCACCGGGAGTGACGGAGCTAATGATGGTGCCAAGGTCTGCGCGGCCAGAGTTCTCTCCTGCTACAACTTGAAACCCTACAGGACAAACACACACCGCAAATGTATGAACCCAAAACTATAAACTGTTGCATGCAAATGTAGAGGCAGCCTCTGGCAAACACCATTTTTGTTTATTCAGCTGAAAGATTTGCATACAGCAAAATTACTGGTTATCCAAGTCCTTAAAATAGAAAAGCAACAGGTTGCCTAAGGGGGAGTTATTCACTTCTTTTAACTCAGAAATCTGTCAAGTATACAGCCTGTCCAGGGTTCCCCCAGCATTTCAAGCAGTTTAAAGCAGTTGTCAAAACAGCAGAGACTGTGTAAAATAAAACTAATTTTATGAATATATTCATTCACTCTTACCTAGTCCGTATTTCACATCTTTCTTCAAGTTTACAGTTGTGATCTCTCTCTCCGGAGATGGTAACGCATTAACCTTTTTCTTTAGGGAATCTGTCCAAAGAAAAAACATTAAATACATGACATCTTCTGTAACACAGTTACATCCTTTTTGAGTTTGGTAAGCAGGGAAGAAAACGCAGCCCACTCTGAAAGCACTACACTGTAACTACTAATCAGTTCAAGAGGACATACAGTGTAGCTGAAGGGCTCCCTCTTTAGTAGAATTGAATAACAAGCCTGAAAAGCTTGGCTAAGCCGGGAAGAAAGTTGAGTTCAGTGCCAAGAATTAAGCTATTAAATGGTGGGAGCGGGGCCAAAGCCAAGGTCCACAGGCATCGAGCACTGAGAGAAAAGAGACTGGACTATTTTTTTGTATATATTCATGGTTTGCTAAATCTCAGAGAGATATTGGTGAACAGACTAGAGTTGTAGAGACAGAATGCTAAAAATGAGTAATAATTGGTATCTGCGGGAACAAGAATCACATTTCCTTACGTACCAGTCACAGATGCTGGGGTTGAAGGTGGTCCAGAGGAATTGTGCATGCTAACACCTGTGAAAGAATGCAACGCATTAATAAGAGCATTATTTCAGTATTTCAGGTATGACCTCTACACCTCTGATGCTCCGCTCTTCACAGGTCAGCATTCTTACCTACTACATATGCTTGGCCGGTATCCTCTATGGAAGAGGAGTCAGATTCTTTTTTGGACATGCTGGTGCTCCAGGCTGCGCTGCTGAGGGGTGGTATGCCAAATGATCTGAGAAAGCAAAACACAGATGAGAAAAATTAGGTGTCTTCTACAACGCTGAAGACACTCTCTTAATAACATTAGGCCCCTGAAATCTCTAAGCTAAAAATCACAGGTCATGTGTGAAGCTGACACAAGGGGGAGCAGCTGACACAAAACAGACTTGTTGCTTACTAAAAAAGGCACAATGACACAAACACACACTAAGGCGCATGTACACCCACACACAGACCCCCGGGGGTCAATTACAGGCTGGAGGTAGAGTTTTATATGTCTCTGTAGTGCAGAGTAGTCTCAGCAACAGATCCTCAGTAACTTTAGTCTGCCCTGAAGAGACTGACAGTGAAACCTAAACACATGTACAGGACCCCATACTGGAGGAAAAAGGCATTGAATAAAAAGATAAGAAACACATAGTTTTCTTATTTATTTTTCTTATTTATTCTTATTTCTTATTATAAAGTTAAATTCAGCATTTGCTCATAATTTCCTTTCATTACGTTTCATTAAGCTTATGGGAAATAATCCGGGTCTTGCTTTTGACATGTTTTGCTTTTCTCAACTCACTTGTCCTGTTGGTGTAGGATGGAGTCTGTGTCTGAGCTGGCTCGCTGATGTTGCTGGAAGTGAGAGGCCAGTTGGTTGGCTTGTGGCTGACTAAGTCCGCTGTGCGACTGACCACGATACAACTCTGCCAGCCTGTCCTCCGGAGACTCTGGCATTTGCCCGAGGTTGTGGTGGGAACGACTCATTGCTCGGGGATTGGAAAGGACCGTGGAGGCCACTGGATTGAACCCTGGAAAGTGAAGCTCATCTTGGACTAATACTGAGCCAGACAGTGCCTTATTGAGGGCTGCCTCTGAGTATGAGATTCTCTTCAGTTGGTCTGGGTTGGAGCGTGTCGATAAACTTGGGGCCAGGCTGCCCGAACTCGCTCTCATACCAACAGCATCTCCACTCCGAGAGTCGAGGGAGTACTGCAAACTGTTTTCTGGTGAGCGGGAACATGAAAGACATAAAAGTCTGTCATTCTATAGTAATAATAACCATTAGTGCTTATTAACATGAGGCAGGTAATTCCAAAGAGCTGATTCGTTGATTTATTCCAATTAGTGTTGCCTGTGACAGATGCATCAAGTTAACCCTCATCTCTATAAAAAAAACAAACCTAGGTCTTGCTGCTCCTGGTTGTTTTGGCGAGCCTTCATCTGCAGGTGGAACTTATGCTGATCCGAACACAGCTGTAGCAAATACTGACATGTCTTGTTGCTGTCTGTCTGAAACAGGTGCTTAATGCCATCTGATGTGTTCTGAAGGCAAATCTTCTTTTTCTGGAGGATTACAGACAAAAAAGAAACAAAAAAATGCTAATAATAATAAACAAAGTGAAAATGGCCATCAATTGGATTACACTATAGTGGAAAACAAATACTGGTATACTGTAAGACAGGTTTATTTCGAATAATAAGAGTCAAGCGCGTACTGCAAAGGAAATCTTCTTTGTCTCCCTCCAGGGGAACCTTAGCACTGGGGTACGATTTCCATTAAGGACTTCAAAAATGAGCACCCCCTTGGAGTAAACACCCAGCATGATCCCTGTCTGAGATCTCTTCTCAGGAAGCACTCGATGGAAGTGGACTCCATATTCTGTCAGCTTCTGGCTCATCTTTAAAGACAAGAGAGATGGTACTAAGATACTCAAATAATAATCAAATTAACATAGAAAACAGGAACTTTCCAAATGAGAACCAGGGGTTAGTTTTTTTTGGGGGGGGGTTCAAATTAAGGTTGATGAGGAAGCAAACATCCGTTTTTGTGGTCTCCAATGAAACAAAAAATACAACAAAATGAAATTTAAACAGACATTTTGCTCTTGTTACGGTACTTATTTTTTGTCAAACATACACTGCATGTCAGTCTTTCTGCTGAAGTAAACTCTTTGGTATAAAATAATCATTTACATCACAAAATAAAAACCTTGAGTTGCAATTTATTACTGAAAAAAATAACTTCAGCCATAACTGAATATATTTTTGATATCGACATGAAAACTGAATTTAAACGCAGTCTACTTTATTATTGCCAACCTTAAGGAACTCAAACTC